ATTGCTTGTGAGTTTCTTGTCTGTTTGTTTTGTATTTGCACATGAAATCTAATGCATCTTATTAATGCAGCTATACTGTAGAAGCTGATGGGCCTATAAAGGACTTGACAATATTAGCAGAATATACAGGCGATGTGGATTATATCAGGAATCGGCAGGAGGATGATTGTGATAGCATGATGACCCTTCTTTTAGCAAGAGACCCATCAAAAAGTCTTGTTATCTGTCCTGATAAGAGGGGAAACATTTCTCGGTTTATCAATGGCATAAATAACCATTCACCGTAAGCTAGTAACCTCAATCTTGCCTTCTTAAACTCGATCTTTGTCCATCTTTTCTCCTCCATAAATCGTGGCTTTCTAAAGTCTATGCTTTTTATGATATGCTCAACCAACCCCCAACAATCAATTTCAGAATGTCTAAACTTTCATATCAAGAGATCTTATAGTAACCAACCTACTGTTCTTGAGACTATTCCAATTTTTGCAGGGAGGGTAAGAAGAAGCAGAACCTGAAATGCGTGAGATACAGTGTAAAGGGCGCATGTCACGTTCTTTTGGTTGCAATTCGTGATATTGCTAAGGGAGAGCGGCTGTACTATGATTACAATGGATATGAGCATGAATATCCAACACATCATTTTGTTTAAATTATCATATGTAGCTTTCCTAGTGAGCCTAGGATCAGGAGATCTTTCTTCTTCATAACTATACAACTAGTTCAGATCAAAACCTTTTTTCCCTTTTCCTTTTCTTGATTTATCAAAGTGTCAAGGTGAATGTTGGTCATTTAGATGGAGGTAGATACACCACAGCAGAAAATTTTGGTCAAAGTCCGAAGAGTTTTGGAGATTTAAGTTACTAGGTAACTTTGTCAATTTCATTTATACATTGACATATGTAGACCTTAGCCCTATGTAATTGCTTTGAGAACAAAAATGCATCTGTTTTACAGAATTTTAGAGGTGACTATTATAGCATGCTTCTGTCTTTTATTGTCCATTCTTGACTATTTTTTGGTCATTAATGTAAAAGCATCTTTGTCTGGTTACCTTTTGAATGCTGCGGCATAACTAGTACGTAACTAGTAAAGTTGTTTCCATGTGACTAGGAGGTCACATGATCGAACTATGGAAATAGGTTCTTGCAGAAATGCAAGGTAAGGATAAGGATGTGCAATAAACCCTTGTGGTCCGGCCCTTCCTGGCCTCGAGCGTAATGGGAGGTTACTGCCCTTTGAGTATCATTAAGTGATTGACAAGTTTTACAAGACTAAACTTCCTTCTGAATATCTTAGATCAACAAAGTTCATTATTGTGTCAAAACCATTTAAGTAACTTGTACATTTTGCACCAAAAATCCAAACTTGGTAACCATTTATAGTTTACACTATGTTCAAGACCAGTTCTTCCTTCAAAAGATTCTTCTAATTTACTTCTTCCAATCAGTCCATGGAATGCATGAGGTTACTCTGACCATATATCATCCAGTGATTTCATTATACTGTCTTTGTCAACCTTCCAGGGTGCCCTTTTCTGTAAGTTTTCTTGTGTGAAGCATGCCTCACATATTATGTTGCTCGGATCCTTCACAAATGTTGTTGCACCCGTGTCAGATCTTCCAAAAATGCATAGCTTTTGGAGGATTTGACTCACTCTTGGTGGTATTTTAGAAGAGTCCGAGCAACATAGTGGCACATGTGGATATCCAAGTAAAGCAGGTCATAAAATTCCATTTCTACTATCTGCAGTGGTACATCCTTATAAGTTAACTAGACCATAATGTTCAGTTCAAGTGTCTTTAAGTGGAACAGGTTCCAACCAGTTACCTTCCAAAAACTTTATCTTGCTGCAATGACCACTTTTTAGCTTCACCAAATAGTAGAATTCATTACCTATGTTTCTCGGACTCTCCAAAAATACTACTAGGTGTGTGTCGGATCCTTTTTGGAGGATCTAACACAAGCGCGGAGTATTTTTGGAGAGTCCTAGCAACATAGCTCATATTTAGATGGCATGTGTACCATTTTGGCCTTAATTAACTTCTATCACAGTTCTCAGCTTTGTCTTGCATTGAACATCCATACAATTTGGATCAGAGATATTATTTCTTATGACCTTAGATTCTTCTGCAATATTTGTTACCACTGGCAAAATTTTATTTGACGACTTTTCTGGGACTCTCATCTCTCTTTAACGGGTAAGTTTTGAGTCGTTGGACTAAGTCAGCCCAAAAACACTCTTAACATGGTCTGATACTGCTTTGCTTTGAGTAAAGTCTGCACAAATTTTTCCAAAAGGTCTTACACCTTTAGAAGTATCTTTACACCTCATGTGTAGCTTTCGTTTCTTATCAATTTCCAATGTGAGACTTTGTTCGCGTACTCAACAATCTACCTCTTGAACTAATTACCACATGACCTATCACTAAGATTCATCTAAGTATGTATGGCCACCAAAGCCCATATGCTTCTTCTTGTGTATATGTTTCCAAGCTATGAATACATGTAGTAAACCAATCAGTGGATGGGACAAAAATAGTAAACCAACCCATGCTATCACAATCTAGTGGGCTTGTTTTTCAGCTCTTCACATGCCATAACATGAGAGCTACTTTGGAGATGGATGGGCAAAGGTAGTGACTTTGGTTCAAATCCTGTATTGCGTTAACAAATCCATTGAATAATGAAGTGGGTTGAGAACCATGAATGCCTCAGGTTCAAATCTCAGTAGAGACAAAAATACTAGGTGATTTCTTTCTGTCTGTTCTAGTTTTAGTGGACAGAGTTACCTGGTATCTGTTTGCTGGTGAGAAGTGGCAGGTATCCCATGGAATTAGTCGAGGTGCGCACAAGTTGGCCTGGACACCATGGTTATCAAAAAAAAGAAAAAAAATCCGTTGAATATGCATAAACTATTAATTTATAACCTAGTCGCGTAAAATGACTAAAATCCCAAACTCATACGTTTCAAGTCCTGTCTCCGTCTCTTCATCACTCTCCGTTTGACTTGTTTCTTAACTCTTCATGGGTGGTAATATAAGAGTTACTCAACACCATCTCCATGCACGTCCAGTCGCACCACGGGCTTTCATATATAGCAATTTGTTGGGCTAAGCTAGTTCAAAGAGACTCTTTACATGGTGTGATACTATCCATTTTTGGATCGAACCCACACGATTTCCCCTAAAAGGTCTCACACCATTAGGACTTGACGACTTCTCACAACCAACATAGATTACTTTCTTGTTTTCCATTAGGCTTGTTTTCTGTCACTTTCCATGGTACTGCTTACTTGTGGCTACTTTCTTTCCTACTATGACCAAAGAAGGAAACAAACAAAGTTACTTTAGTCTTGTACTCTCTAGGTTTTGCTTTTGTTTCATTGAAATGCATTGTCCTTATATTATACATTGCAATGGCGAAGGTTTACCAGAAATAGTCTCTCTACCCTACAAAGGTAGAGATAAGATATATTTTACCCTCTTCAAACCTCACTTATGAGATTACAGCGGATATGTTGTTGTTGTTCTGTCTGTTTGAGACTTGGATTTCTCCCTTTGATCTCATTGATCAAATCCGTTTCATATTAGTCTACTATGTGTACCTTCTATTCACATCTTACCGTATTTTTTAGGTTGAAAAGAGTAGTGTATCTTAGATAGTATGCATAGAGGTTCTATAACACATAGCTTCTAATTTCTCTGTCTAAAACAACTCTATTATGAGCTAATTGATTTGACATTTTGTTTGCCCCCTTCATAATCTTTTTTTTTTTACAATAGATATGAGGTCGTGGATGATATACATTAGGATAGATGGTTAATTGGTAGTACAATGTTCTCTCGCTTACCCTTCCATACTAGTAGTCGTAGCATTATTGTTATAGTTTCTTGGTCCACGATTATGGTTGTTTCTAGCATTTTGATTATAGTATTATTTTATTGTAATTACTGTTTAGAATGATTTGTCATGTTTTCTTTAGTATTTTGCCATGACTTCTTGACCTTAATTATTTATTTTTCCATGTTGCTTCAAACTGTTTTTCCTTGAGTCGAGAGTCTGTTGGAAACCTCTCTACCTTCATGATAGAGATAAGGTTTGTGTGTAACTTAATTAATTTGATTTGTTTCTTGTTTTTGCTCATTAAAACATTTGAAGGGTCACCATTCAAATTCAACGACGTTTGGTATGAAAGATCATTTGTGTTTCATTCGATCTAAAGGTGACCATGTATGGAAAATTAAATACACGAAGAAGTTAAAGAGAGTTCAACAACATATATAAATAGTGTAGTTTTCCATTAAAAGGAATTCGAATGAACCCCTTGATCTTATCTGGCTCTGATCCTAATAAGAGAAGAAGAAAATGTGACAACTACTTGTGGGAAGTCATCAAAATATTTGATGCACCAAGAATAATAGTCGTAGGCTCGTAGCCTTCGAAACTTCCAAAGTACATTACATGCCTTTTACTCAAGGCGTTGAGGGATCGTTTCGTACTCCCCTGTCCGTAATTAGTAATTACTTGTCTAATTTTTCTTTTTTACTTGTCCATTTTTAGACAAATCAAGAAAGGACAACTTTCTTTTACCTATTATACCTTTAATTAATTACTTTAAAAAAAGGTAAAACTTCTTGAAAATGTTAAGTTTTAAATTCATTCACTTCATAAATAATAAGATTAAAATGGTAATAGGTGTGTCAATTTAAAAATGAACAAGTAATCAGAAACAAAAAGAGTACTTATTAATGTAGGGATTTGTAATGCTGGAACTATTTCATATCCATGAGTTTGGGTTCGTCTCTAAAGAATAAACTTCCATCTAAAAGTTTACATTATGCAAACACCTACAATGAACAACTTTGAGAAGTTTGCAATATAACACTAAGTTTTTCAACCATAAGTGGTGTAATATTTTACCACGAAAATATGAGCTATCTCCTTTGTCTGGCCGTCACCAACGGAGGGTTGTATAGCTATAAAAAAAAAATGCGAGAAGCCTACCCCTTTATTGAGTCTGCTATCTCATGATGGCAAGGAGAATCTTTTGTAGAGGTACTGTTACAACAGGAGCTCAAGGGGCTTGGGAAGCGACCCGGAGGACTGCCAGAATTCCCATCTTTCAGTATGCTCAAGGGACTTGGGAAACTCTGGTCCTGAGAACTACCTGTATCTGCACCTTCGATTTCATTTGGGAGATCGCTAGTAGCTGCATTCAGAATGCCGCTAGAAGTTGGTATTCTTGAGCGTGAGGGCGACTTATGTTTAAACACACCCCACAAATAGTACTTCCTACGAAGCCCTGTATAAGGTGAAGGTTTGTTAAGTGTTTGATTGAATACAATACAACTGATATCTCTGTTCAATGGGAGAAAATAAAGACTTGGGAAGCAGAAATTCATCACTTACTCCAATGTTTCTGTGGCAGAACACGAGATGAAAAAATCAAAAGCTCCAAGTCATCAATTGTGGCGCTCATTGCAAGATCATTGTCAATAACATCTTCCAATAGAGCATCATAAGAATTTTCATCCCTGAAAGACAGTATTAATAGATAAGGTTCGAGAACATCAGGATCATAATGTTCAATGACTGCATTATAATAAGACGACGTTACTCTTCAAGCTCGGGAAAGAGATACAAAGCAATACTGCAGTCTGTTGGTTGCAGCCTCAGGAAACTCCTCGGCCATACATCATTCTTGGACACAAGTTTTACATCAAGTTTCACAGGAAGCCTATTTGCTGCCATAGACGCCTTTTCACAGGCTTTGTTTGACAAATGAGCTAAGATATTAATACTGCTTTCACTTTCTGTATTGAAGATAAAACATCCCCTACAGTTAAAAATAAAGACAGTGAATAGAGAATTCTTTTTTCTAAATTCAATAAAGAATCCTCCCACCAAGAAGTTGGGAAGAAAGACAATAGCAGAAAGAACTGCTCGTTGCAATCACTGAAAAAGCCTTTTTAGGTATCCCAAATCTAAAATGAAACAGGTAATTGCCTATCTAAAGCAGTGGAAGTTAAAGTTTTTACCTCCAAATGGGATCAATAACTGGCTGTGCAGACAAACAATTCGCAGATTCCACTTGAGGATCACTATACAAAGTGTCGAGTGGAAAATTTTGCTCACCAGGGAATGAAGAAGAAAAATTTCCACCAATTGCCCCACCCTCTCCCTCAAAATCACCGCCATCATCAAGAACTACAAACTTCCTCCTTGACTTTCTCATCTCTTGTTGATTTCCAATTTCACCAAGTGACTGAGCACTCTTTGAATCTTGCACAGAAGAGTCACCTCTTACTTGAGCTCTTTCTACCATTCCACCTTCCTCGTTGTTCAATGTTGAACAATAAGCTTCCTGGCGTTTACCTACTAGCGGAGTGTTCCCTGCTTTTACTGATTCAATTTGCTGTTCAGAATAGCATACATCTGCACACTCTTCTCCAATGTCTTTGTGTTTCTTAGTATCAATGAATGAAAGCTTCTCCTTTTGCAAAACGTGAAATGGACTATGGGCTGTAGGTGATTGAACTGCACCGCTTGTGTCATGTCTAGCCTCATCTAACCGTAGAGCTTTTACTTTACAACGGTAAAGCTTTCTTCTCCATTCCGCTCGAACATCAAAAGCATGGATTTTTCGTTCACTTATCCGTTCACTCTTTCTGAACTGCTCAACCTTAGAAACTTTGGGAGTGCAATCCCAACATATCCAATTGGTATTGTCATCATCAGCAGAGATTTTCTCTTGGCAATAGCTGCAGAATAAGGAAAAACAAAATGAAATACGCCTGTCGAGTTAATAATCTTTTTCAGAGCTTGTAAAGTGATATTGAAGTCAATATAGGCATTTTTAGATGCTCGTAGCAATAATAGAACGACAATATACAGACAAAAAATAGCCATGATATTGAAGCCAATAGAAGCACATGTAGATGTGCATGCGATAACAAAATAGAAATATACGGACTAAAACATTCATCAGTACTTTTTCTAAACTCCATAAAGGGGAAAAGAAAAATTGTTATTTTCTACTAGGCAAGAATACGGCTTAATAATTAAAATGCCTAGGAAAAACTATATCCAACATTAAACTATTACAATTGCTAATATCCACTTGAAATTCATTCTCAAAATAAAGAATATTGCATACGATTAATTAAGTTACTGATGAAACATACTGGTGTACAGCGGAATCACGACATTGCGAGCAGTAGATAAGAAGCTTGACATCTCCTTTATCCCCACATGTTAGACAAACAGTTCTCTGAGAAAGAAAAAGAAAACACAAGTGAGCACTAAGATTGTGAAATTGTACAATAAGTTGAACAAGTACTGATGAAACTATCTCTTTTGATAGACAAATTGGTGAATTTGTCTTATAGAATTCAAACACTTATAAGTTATATTGTCTGAAACCTTAAATTTCTATAGAATCTGACGGCAACAACATGACACATTGCCTCTCCACGATCAAATCTCTGGACAAGAATCCAATCCTTGAGTTGTGTGCATGACCCTTAGATTGACAGTTCAATGAAGTTGATTTTTCTTTCTTTGATGTACTCATAGAAGTTTGGAAGGATGAACTAACCCAGACATCACACTAGAACGTAAAAATGAAAACCATCTAGCTAGAAAGTAAATACACTTCTCTGAATAAAAAACATATATACATGAAACCGGGTTGGGCATTTAACTCCTAAATCTTGCACAAAACAAATGGCAAAATCAGAAGTCCTGGGAATACGTCAAAAGGTTATCATATGAATTAAGATTCGACCAAAAAGCCGACCTCAACAGGCAGGGGGAAGCAACATTATTACTTCCTCCATTTCAATTTATGTGCCTTACTTTCCCTTTTAGTCTGTTTCAAAAAGATTGCTGATTTCTACATTTAGAAATTCTTTAATTCCGACATCCTATCATTGCCTGTTTAAGACCACAACATTCCAAGAACATTTTACTTTCTTAAACTCAATGTCCAACCAAAAATAGTCTTTGAAGACAATTAAGTAGAAGTCATTACTCATTGAAAATTAACCTCTTCAATAAACAAGTCTCATTACTCATGTACACAGAATGAAGACATAAAGAATAACTACTCTGTTTCTAGAATTAATTTCCTTATGAAATCATTCGCACATTGTTCTCAGTAAGAAATATGCAATATTTGGGTTCCAATTTTGAGTTACAATCTTCTCAAACTTGTAACTAAGATCGATAAAGGGACTTTTGAGTCAAGGAGGTTAGTTATGAAATGATGTAGGTCATAAGGATTAAAGACTTGCACAAAAGTAATTGTACAGGCCTCGATTGTTGGATGTTGGGTTCCCCAAGGGTATATGTTCGGACACTTGGGGTGTACGTTTCAGGAGGAAAACATAGCAAGGAGTTTTTTTAAAGTTATCTTCCAAAGAGTAAGCTCTAAGTCCACAACATTACCTTCTAAAACATTAATAAGCAGTTTGAGGTGAAAGCATTTACTGCCAGGGACGGATCTAGAAGAGAACCTATGGGTTCTCGGGAACGCAATAGCTTTTACTCAAACCTATTGTATCTATATTAAGAAATTCACTAAATATCTATAAGTATTTGACTTGAGGTTGATCTAGTAACGCATAAACTTTAAATCCTTGATCCGTTTTTGCTTAGTACTCATATCTTATATTTATATCCTCCCCTACCCCACCATTTCTTAAACCCTACATCCCACTTTCATGTTTATGCAAAAAAAATTGCAGATGAAGAAAAAAAAAAAACAAATGAGGAACATATCACTCTCAAAAATGGGTGTTAAACTGAATTTTTTTTTGCTAATCGAACAATTTAAACAAAAAAATTTACTTTAAAAAAAAAACAAAAAGGGTTCCTCAAAAACTTCAAAAAACTCTAAAACTCCAGAAGCAGAACACACACACTGAGAATTTATCATCGCCATTCGCCATATCTCAAACAACTATGAACTAACAACCAAAAATCAAAATTTAAAAAAAGTAGAGATAGAGCAACACAGATATACGCATTTGCATAAGACCCATAACAATCCATTGATGATTTCACCTTCAAAACCCTTCTTCATTGAAGAAATTGAAAATGTTAACTAAAAAATGAGTCAAAAAAAAAAAAAAAAAAACTTTTTCACAAACGCGAAATAATCAAACCAGTACGAATTAGAAGATAAAAAGTAAAATGCAAGAGTTAAATTTTACCGAAGCCGCAGCAGAGGCAGATATAGAAGAATCCATTAGCGTCCTTTTGCTTGTTTTCTCGCTGTTGCAAGTATTTATAGAAAATGGAGAAGGACGTTGTACATAGCAAGCAAGTGGAGCCAAAATAAGAATATGGGCAAGTCTAGGGGTAAAATAGGTATTTTAAAATTATACTATTAGTACTTAATATAGAAATGTGTCGATAAAATTAGTTCTCTTATATGATAATACTAGATTTGTAATAAAATAAGATAAATTACATAATACGTAAATTTAAAATAAGAAGAGAAAATTAAAGTAACAAAGTTATTACACTAAATCTATCGTTACACAAAACGAGATTTTACGGTGTTTTCTATTAATGAATTTGATGATACAATAAAATTTAAATAACAATACAAATGAATATTTAAATTGACGATACAATACAATATAATAAATAACGACCATCCGAACAATACAATGCCAAGTAAGTAATACTTAACCTAGGAAAGTATTTGTTTTTTATCAAAGATTTATTTCATGGGCGAAAAGGTAAAATGATAATTATGTAATCTAATTAAACAAACTTAGAGCTCGTTTAAATTGACTTAAAAAAGTATCTTTTGAGTCAAAAATAAAAAGTCAAACTGAAATGACTTTAAAGTCAAAAATAGAAAGTAAATGAATTTTAAGTCAAAAATAGAAAATCAAATTGAAATGAATTTTAAATCAAAAATAGAAAGTCAAACTAAAATGACTTTTAAGTCAAACAAATAAAAAGTAGGGGAGACTTACTTTTGATTTTTTAACTTATTTTAAAGTCCTTTTAAACTTATTTTATGTTATTTTTAACCTTGTCAAACAGTTTATAACTTATTTTAAGTCATCTTTTTAATTTATTTTAAGTTATTTTTATATTTGACAAACATTTCTAAAGTCAAAAACTAACTTAAAAAGTAGATTTCACCAATTTTTAAGCCAATCCAAACACCCTCTTAATTAGACCGAAAACTATTACTACTATTTCTAAAGAGGGTAATGTTTACTTTTTGTGGATAATTATGTACTTTTTCCAATTAAAGGAATTCGGTATTCAATCTATATCTACAAGTTTAGTGAATTTGTAGTTTCATTTGGATTCAACATTTTCGATATGGATTATAAATAGAAATTTGATATAAAATTTAAGAGTTCAATTTCAAATTAGCATTTATTTATAAATTTTAACTTCATTTTGTCATGATTTTTGAATATCATTTTAATTCGAAAAGTAGGATTTGAAATTTCAAATTGTGATTTCAATTTTTTTAAAATATATAAAAATTGACCGATATATAATTTAAATTCTACAACAAATGAATTCTTGTTTAATGTGAACAGATTAACCATACCATGTGAGAAATTTTATTTAAAAAATAGCTAGTTATTGCCGATCTATTGAACCAATGAATCTTTGTAACATTATATGTATTTAAAAGTTACTTAGGATCAACTTGCAAATTTTTGGCACCGTAGTAGAATCATTATCAATGACACGTTGTGCGCCTAAATGCGAAAAGACAGTGCAAGCTTTGTTATGCCGAAATCTAAATGTAATAACATTCAACCACAAATATTTATTCATAAGCAGTAGTAAAACTAGAACTTTTATTAAGGGGTTCAAAATATGAATAGGTGACAAACTAGTTGAAGAGTATCAACATCTACTATATATATATATAAAAAATAATTTTAATTAAGTATAAATAGTGTAATTTTTCGCCAAAGGCCTAAGCTCACTCTGCCCCTATTTATAATTAGAAAAACATGAAGATCGATATGTGATTTATTAATTCGACGCTATGTCATCTTGGGTCATTTCGATATCTTGTTTATGAATAGTTTACTTATTTGTAAGATTTTGTAAAAGTCGGAGAAGTTTTGATAATTTTCATAAATTATGAGGTTTTCATGTTTATATATAAACAAAAAAAAAATACATGTTCAAATAAAATTTCAACTTCAAATTAAGCAATCTAATTTCAAATTGAGACTTGAAATCATGTCCATATGGACCCTAAATTTATGTATAAAAATTCAATAATTTGTAAAAACCTAGAGAAGAGCCTTTTTAACAAGAAGATGGAGGTATCCACTTATCCCCTTGAATAAAATTCTTAATTGAGTAAGACTCAACATGTTCACCTGGAATTTGATTACTCCATGGCACTCTTCCTGTTACATTACCTCCATCACCACTACTTTTAAATTCACCATAATAGAGCGTCGCAAGAGCAAACTCGCCGCTCCATGGCATCCAGCCCTCAGGGCGGATCAAAACTTCTAAATTACAATTTAAAAAAACCGTCCTAGAATACTCCTTCCAAGGCCTTCCGAGGTAATTTTTGTGCAAATTCGGGTTACTATGGTACAAATTCATGTACTCTTTCGTTCCATTGATTGAACAATTTTGAAATACGAATCCTGTTGATTGTCCAGGGTCTAATCTACCATGAGCAGTTACTGCATTAGTTTCACCTTTTTCGGGGTTGAGTACCCGGGGAGTGACTAGAATTTCACAGTCCTGGAAGAATGCTGCTGCGTTACCAAAAATAAAATCTACGTTCCCCTGAACGCGACATGATTGATAGTACTGTCGTAACGATTGTGTGTAGAGTGTGTCTTGATTGCCAAGAAATTCACAGTTTTCGATTACTGAGTGGTCGCTATCAGACCGGAAAGCTACTGCTTGTCCTGCCCCGATACCGGCTGTGTTCTGGATTGTTAAACCACTAGCCATGAATCCATCACCACTTACTCCTGTTTTAGAAAAAACGTAGATTAATTCATCAACCAGACGTTAAATATCACTTGTGAAACTTTTTATTTTTTAAGCCAACCATGTCATTTGCCTAGCTTATTAGTGAACAAAACAGTATAACAACAACAAAAGAGACAAAATATCAACTACAAGTTGACTCCTAATAATTTTCTTGCCGGCATTAGTTTTAATTTATGTGACAATTTTATATGTAATAAACTATAATTCACTTACCAACTGTGGCAGATTCGTAAGTGGACATTCCAGGTATTAGGCCAACACTCAACGATCCTGAAATGACGGTTTTACCCATCCCGTCACCTAAAAACACCACATTTCTCTTCTCCAAGGGTACCCGAACTATCTCATCATACAACCCGGTTTTGATCCGTATCACAAACTTCCCGGGTCCCAAATTATTCGGGGTTGCATTCACCGCCTCTTGCACCATCCTGTAATCACAACCACCATCTTTACAAACCGTCACATTTGGGCTCAAACCCGATGGAACCCCACCCCTGAACCCAAACCCGGATTCTGACCCGATTTCCCAAAAACCGTCTCGCTCCGTTTTAGGTGGGGCCCACGACCCGGTTTCATTCCCGTGAATATCATAATTCACTATCATCCATAAAGCGTTTGTAGTAAATTCAATTAAACCTTTCATTACCTCTAACGTTTTGGCCACCGGAAGGGTTCCGTTTACTCTCAGTAAATTCGATGAGCAGCCGATTTGGTATCCCAAACCTGCGCTCATCCATGCTCGAGCGTCCTTGATTTCGCCACGTGGCAATGCGGCAGCCGTCAGATTGTGCCTGTACGCCGAATTACCGAATCCTTGTAAACAATTTTTCGCGGCGACGGTGAGATTGGCGTCGCCGGCGCCGGCGGAGTCGAGGAGGTTCTTCACCATTGATTGAGCACTAGTGAGGTTCTGAGATGAAACGCTCAATGCGGAGAGGATGATTTGTAACGCCGTTAGATTTGACGGAATGTGTGAAAGTTCCGTTAATGAGGATTCGCATGTTGGTGGGTCCTTTGAGGCTTTACAAGCTAATTGGATTTCAATTGGAATGTTGTTCGGAGACGGAGACGGAGAAGGAGAAGGAGGGAGGGAAATATGTGTAACTGAATTTTCTGACGAATGAGGTTCGGAAAAAGAGAAGAAGAAGAAAAGGAAAAGATAGAAGAATGTTAGAGAAAAATATTGAGATATCATTGTGTAGAAATGAGAAGATTTTTTTCTGTGAAATTATGATATGGATTGGATTATGTATAGGTAATTGAAATAGTGTTTTTTGTTGTGTTGTATATGGTTTACGTGAGTAAATTGGCCGTTGGAGGGTTAGTTTTAGATAAGGCAAGTACATTTAATTGGATGACAAAAGATGGTATGTCATAGGTATGGAATGTAAGTTATAAGTAATTAATACACATTTCCCCCATTTCATTTTCGTATGACAATATTTTCTATAAATAATTTTTGAAAATTGTAATTACATACGGTTGATTGTGTTTCAATTATTATTTGAATATGACATTAATTGACATATGAAATGAAATAGAGAGATATATCTATATTTGTGTTGTACTATTTTCTTATTAGTTCGTTCCGAAAAATTATATATTAATAAGTATTTTTACTTTAAATTTTTTATTTTATTCGTAAATGTTTCTATAACTAAAAGATTTCATATCCCTTCTATCTTTATTTATATGATATTTTTTCATTTTTCTAAATTTAAATTATATAAACTTTGATCAAAGACGAAAAATGATTGAGCACTCTTACAAGTCACGGTTTAGAGGAAGTTCACGGGAGGCTTTGGAAGGTAGTGTTTATGGAATCTTCTTCTTAAAGGTGTCGGTTCTAATTAATGTTTCCTATCTTTTCTCGTGTTATTAATTACTTGTCTATTTTTGAATTGACACACGTATTAAGAAAATAATGCGTTTATTATTTTATCTCTATTAATTATGAAGTGGTGAATTAAAAACTTAAAAATTTCAAGAAGTTCTATCTTTTTTAAAGTAATTAATTGAGAATATAATAAATAAATAAATTTGTCTTTTTTTAATTTATCAAAATAAATAAATAATTAGAAACAATTAAAAAATAAAAAGGTGACAAGTAATCAGGAGGGAGAGCGGAGTACTTTATTTGAACATGCAGACAATCTTCTTACTTGTAAGTATTTGCATGACTTTATTATAAAAAATTGTAGCAAACTATGTTTGACTTCTTCTCTTAGATATAAATAAAATAATAATAAGCTCACCTCACTATGTGCTATACTTAATGGTAATCAGAATAGGATATTGAAATAAAAGGGTACACTATTATTGAAAAAGTGGATTTAAACGGTTTGATATTTAGAAAATAACTAAAATTTTAAAATTTTAAAGTTGAAATGCTTAATTAATTAAAATGCCAAAAGTGCTATCAATAACCACTTAGAGATGTGTTACTCTATTTTAGAAAGAAAAATAAAATAAGATAGATATAAAATTCAAATTTCTAACCTCACTAAGAGGTGCACCCAATCATTGTAGCATTATATGAACCCGATAACACCCTCTTGCATACGCCTCTGTCTGTAATTGCATTGTAAGGTGGTCAAAAGATGGATGTGACAAATGGAAAGTCTGGCATCAAAATAGACACTTTTTTAACCCTAAACACCAATAAAGACTCTCTCTAAAAACACACACCAAAACAGATAGTAGAATGGAACTTTGGAAATTTGGAATTTGTTACTCTGATTCTATAAGGTTTACGATGCAACAAGAACTCTAAGTCATGCGTCCCAATTTGGTGTTTGATAAACTCTTTTGCATAAATTAGCTTCCTTTAAACAAATAATAGATGAGATTCTCTTACAACATGTTAGAGACATTACGAGGTTTTATCTCGATGTTTCACGAGTGAATTTGAATTTGTCTTCATACACAAGTTATAAACTGCCTTCTCATATATTTAATTCTCCGATACTAACATATTTCGATTGTATAAGCCACCTTATTGCTAGGGGTTCATTCGAACCCACTTTGGCAAAAAATTATATTATTTATATCTGGTTAAAATAATTTCAGATTTTGACCATCTTATTGAAAATCTTGGCTCCGCCACGGTTAAATAATGACGTTGAAAGTGCAAAAAGGGGGGGGGGGGGGGGATGAGATGGAGTGAATTGAATTCTTTTATCTTTTCTAGTAGAGTACTATAATCTATATAGCAATACTTTTTGCATAATAAAGTTATGCCACAGGGCTATTTTTGCTCAAATTATTTCAAGTGTAACATACCTGAATATTTAATCAATGTAGAGAGGAAAACATACATAACAAAAGTGTAAAATTGGAGAACTCTATCTATAACTCCACTTAGAAACAAAAGCCAAAATAAAAATAAAAATGCTTGTTTATATAACAGAAATGGATGATCTTTTCTTGATTTTCTTAGTCTTTATGGTTGGTGGTGAAGGGTGAAAAAATGGATCATCTGTCCAATTCTTTTCACCCCAATGCTTCAACATACCTTTCCAATTGCATAACCTGTCTGTGCATCTCTTAAGTCGTCGATCGTTGATCTTGATTTTCCAATGTCCATCAACATACTTTGCCTTCTCTGCTTCCCTTCTATCCCATTCCAATTGCGCCTTTTGCTTTGATCGTAACAAGCAAAAGTCTTGTAGCTGCTCGGGCATTGCATCGTGCACTTTCCACCACTTGTGATGTGCAACATCACTCGCGAATTCTTGTAATATGTCTACGTTCCAATTACAATCATAGTCGCGGAAACACAACCATGGTTTGTATCCTAAGTAGTGAAGGACATAAAGAATAGGAGGATCAGCCCCGAAAAGATGTGTTTTCTTAGCTTTCACTACTTCATCATCACCAATCCAAAAGTTCTTTAAGAAGTTCATATGCTTTGGTATACGATGCCACCACGTGAATATTTCGTTTAGGTAACCTTGATCACCTCCATTATAAGACTCAATCTCATTTATATGATCCATCAAGAGCTGGAACGTGCAATTTGATGGCTCGATCACCATTACACCGGAGTTAAACAACGTGCCATTGTTCCCCGTGGCTGAAATCTGTGGCATCCTAAATAAGATGTCGATGTTCCTAAGTATAAGCAAATCAGCATCAATGAAAATGATTTTATCATAATCTGTCAACTGCCATAGTCTAAATTTGCTATAGTTCCACTCATTGTATGCATCTTTCTCTGCTTTAGGATTTCTTATTCTCTGTATAGTCCTAACTTGCCACCCTGCTGCCTCGAGTCCACTACGATGATACTCACCAATTGATTCATCAACAAGAATCACGAGGTCTCTCGTGGACCCTGACATTCTAATACTTTGTGCTGCTGCTATAGCTCCACATACATATACATGAGCTGAATGCAAGATTGTTGCATATGCCTCGCGTCTTTTGTTCCCCGAATGTACTTCCTCTGTTACGATAACATAGAAGTTATCAATACTCGATATTTCTGTGGCGTTCACTTCAAAAAAAGGGGAAAAAACAATAAGAGTATATCTTACCTGTTGTACCAAAGGGTAGTGCAAGTTCACATGATCCAACAGGAAGTTGAACTTTTTCTCTTAGTACACTCAAGTCCGGCTTGTACAACCAAGCGTTACCTTTCCTAGCAACGAGCTCGTTGCACCTATAAAGATTCGGTATAGGGAAACATTTGGTTATGAAAAGCAAATGCACAGGATGTATACCCTTAGCAGATGAAGCTAAACCAGCAGCAGCAAGTTGTAAGTGCAATCGCGCAACATCTCTAGACCAATTCCCTTCATTCCTACATGGTAACTTGACAGCTATAAGATCGAATCGTGTCCTAGGAACTTCAAGTTTTGGCAAAGTAGGACAACTTGGAACTTCATTTTCTTGTTCTTCATCAATCCATTCAGGATACAAGGTGTCCCAAGTCACATTTTTTTCGGCGTAGTCAAGGTGAAGTACTGTTTGATTAACATTAGGAACAACTTGTGTCCATTCACTGATTTCATCTTTGTTGAAATTAAGAAGGCCAATGTTCTCAACAACTTTGTTTTGATCAGGCAATTGTTCCAAAACTTGTGATACTTCTTCCCAGGTGATGTCTATATCTGATATGTATCTAGGATCAGAAGCACCCCATATCCACCTGTTAACAAAATGTTGCCTGCATTATATAATTTGTTCACATTAATAAACAACTAAGCTATGACCAATTTGGTGAAGTACTCCCTTCGTACTTTTAATCTTGTGGTCTCAAACATGTCATTTGGAAAGTTAAAATTATTGAGTTGTCAAAAAAAAAAGAAACATTCGTTTTTAAACAAACTAAAGAGAAAGTTAAAACAAACAACTTGAATTAGATGGAGTAGTAATTTGTTTTTTCTCCAATTTTCGCTAAGGATCCATCGAAAACAATTTCTCTACCATGAGATAGGAATAAGGTTTGTGTACACTCTACCGTCTCCAGACCCCACTATATTGAATATATTAGACTCCTTATTGCACCTAAATCACTTGATGTATTGGTGTGGACTGGCAGTAATGTAAGCCTTATTGAAAATCTAATAAGGCCTATTGTAAGAAAGGCCCATTAGATCAAGGCTTGACGCCTATTAATATATGGCTAGGTCACCTCTCATCCCCCCCATTCTATACTTTTGGAACGCGCTTCTGCATTGATGAACAAAACAGCTTAACGAATACACGTCTTAATAACTAACATTTAACTTATATACAATGACAACATAAATACGTTTTGCACTATCTATATAATTAAAAATGTAGCATGTTACCAAACTTACTTCATAAATAACTAGTTCTACATTAAACTTATTTTACGCTGTCAGTGTATATAAGTTAAACTGATATAAATATTGAAGAATATATATGAAGTAGAGCATACCTTGAAACAGTGTCAGCATTATTATGTTGACAAACAGAAGGGGAAGATAGAATCATGTAGAAAGTACCAATCACAATGATAAATAGCACAAGCTTTAGAGGATGAAACTTGCAATTTGTGTTCTTCTCTTGAAAAGGGTTTTGGAGGGGCTTTATACCTCCAACATCCTTCACTTTTATTTTTTGTAATCTTCTTTTGCATGCATCTTCTCTGTAAAATTGATGTACAAGTAGTAAAAAAAAATTGGTTTAAATATTAAATTTATAAAAAAAATATCAGTAAGTAATTAGAATGATAATTGATATCCTTAATATCTCTTTACATTGGTGGTGTGACTCTAGGTTAATAATTTTGATATCTCATTTAGTGTTCATTACTTTTTTTTTTTAATATGATTATTTTGAATTTACGCTAAAAAGTCTATTTTAAGGGGAAAATGATAACGATTTTGATTTCCAAGACACGAATACGAAACTTCTAATTAAGGACCGATTACAATTTTGAATTTCTGTCTAAGGGAGAGGTTGATGGCATTGGTTAGCTACTTCAACAACTAACTAATCTGTCCTTCAACAAATTAAATGATAGTATTAAAGATCTCATCCACATATTTCTCATCCACATATTAGAAATATTATTATAATTTTTTTAAACCTAGGTTGAACAGTTAATTGTTCACCTACCACATGTTGGATCACCACAAACTAGTTAATCTAATAAATCTCTAATTAATTAAAAGGTTGCTTAGTCTAATTAAAGTGAGATTATAAAATTAAGATAATACAACTACTCTACCATCCTTAAACCAATAATTTTCAGTCTCACATGGTTTTTATTTCCCTTGCCTATGTGTTATTATTTTAGAGAACAACTATTTTCCACAAAAAAAAAAAGAAGTATTTTGTATGATACATTTTCTAGTAAAACTTACTTTCTAAGTTTTGGGGTTCTTTGCTTGAAAGGTTCCAACAAATTATAAAGCTAATCTTTTTATAAGTATTTTAATGTAATCTATAAATACGAGGAAAATGACCTTTTTATTGAAATTAGGAAAAATAAATTGCACAAATATCATTTCAAATGCTTTTGATATCATATTTTCTACTCAATTATAAAAATAAAAAAAACTTCACATGAATTAATATTTTCCTTCCTACCAAAACACCCTAAATGCTAGATTGCTAGTTCCAACTAAACTATATTATTTGCCTCTATATCAATACTATATATTACCTTTGATGAAATTACAACAACAATATATTCAGTAAAATTTTATAAAGTAGAATCGGGGAAAGATAAAATATACGTAAACTTTATCTCTACCTCATAAAGATGGAGAGACTATTTTCGAAAGACCTTCGACTCAAATGAAACAAATTAAAATAGTAATAAAAAAGAGGAAAAATAGCAATGAAGAAAAATATGACAACTAATAGAAAATCAGTATGGAACAAATATGCATAGAACCATAACATAATTTTATTTTATAGCAATAAATAACTTACATTGATCTTCTAGCCTCCATAATATCTGCCAAAACATATGAAGAAAATACACACACATTAATATCCAATAAGTTTCAACAAGAAATGCTACAAGGGAAAATAGTACCTATGTCCAATGCACCAATCATCATAATTGCCTATCAAAAAGACAAGTGAAAAAAGAAAAGAAAAAAAAAGGATAGATTTTCAAAGTACAAAAAACTAAAAGGAAACCATGATTACTTCACAAATAAATGCTCTCTTCGCGCCTATCCAATAGAAAAAATATATCAATCCTTATTCACTACTATATAGAAAAAACTTACCCGCACCGAGTATATACACCTAATACAATTTATCAATTTTATCCTTCATTATATTTTTAGCTCAAAAATATCCTCAACTAGTAAAATAACTTTAAAATACATTTTTACTTACGATTGCTTCAAAACAAGGAATTTTGAACAAATTTGCTCTTGAATTATTCAAAATAAGACAATTTTATACATATCTAACGTAATTCGAGCAGACAATAATTTGAGTTAGTTGAATTCACAGAACATGTCCTTAATCCGCCACCACTTAAGCATACTAAAACATTGAAATTACTCTCATATATGGTTTCAAAAGAAGATGAACAAGAATTATATGGCACAATAATTCAAACAAAACAACAAGAATTATATGGAACAATAATTCAAACAAAATAATAAAGAATTATATGGCACAATAATTCAAACTTACCTTTGCAAATACTTGGCAATGAGAATTACCACATTGAAAATAGATATTCTTGTTTTCTTCTTCTTTGTTCTTTTTTATCTTTGGTTAATTGAAGAAGGTGTTGATTGTATGAGAAGAGAGGAGGAAGAAAGAAAAAGGACACTCAATACAAGAAACAACACTGATTGAATAATTCTTCAAGTTTTTGTAAATATTTATATATATTTTTCTTGAAGCTACAATAAAATATATGCTATTTGAGATATGTCCAACTATTTTCTGGTGGCCATAACAAAAATATTAAAATAAACTTTAAAAAAATGTCGTGTCAAGTCAATTGCAAGAACAGGTTTTTTCACCAACTTCTTTGCTTTTGAATTGTCTCTTCTTACAAAGAAAAATAAGGAATACAAGAATTAACATATTTTTTAAATGCTTCCTTTTAGACTCTCTTAATTACAATATATAAGTCATTCTAGAAATTAGGAAATTATATTGTCTTGGAAATTTTTATTTAATCTTTTTTCTCCTCTTTGGACTCTTTTGCTTTCTTGGGATAAAGTGTTTGGTAGATAGGGAAATTATTTTTCCAAAAAATATTGTTTCCTAAAAGGGGATAAATGATCTTTTAATTGTACCTTCATTTGAAATAATAAGTTTTCAAGATAAAGTTTCTTTTGGAAATATTTTCGTATAAATCACACCTTTAATTCAAATACGATTATTACCGCGATTTTTTCAAATATTTTTGAATTGTTAAATATTGTGACTTAATAGTACTTGTTACGTAGTTTTGAAGTATGATATATTTAAAAAAAACATAAAGATTTATGTTCTAATTCACAGTTAAAATTAAAAAATCTGACTCTCGAAATTCAAACTGTACAACATAAATTGGGACAGAGAAAGTATATTCTAAATGCACCAAAATTAAACTATATTTTTAAATATATTTCTTAGATTTTCAATAAGATAATCTACTAATATGTTCACTAATCTAGAGAAGAAAATGAAATTAAAAAAATATCATGATCTCCTTCATAGAGAAATAGGAAGTGGTCAAATTTAAACCCAATAAAAAAATAAAAAAAGAAGGATTCTCTTATATAAAATTTTTAATTAAAAATATTAAGGTTGTCTATGTACACATGATGTAGAAGGTAGGATAAATATTTACTTAAAGAGAATAGTTCTAGTAGATGGATAATTAGGTCAATGAAAACAATTTGTTTAGTTTATGATGTGAAATTGGTGATTAGGAAGTTATATCTAATTAATTAATGACTTATACCAATAATTAATCATTTCAATTAGGTGAATTTTGGAATATATCACAATAATAACAGTCTGTAGAAGCTAGTAAGTTTAATGCCTTTTATAAAAATCTCAATTTGGTTTCTATTTAAATCCATAATTACAACTAGTAATTAATTTGATTAGTGTCTTAATGAAAGTTGGTTCTGCTTGTTTTTTTTTTTTTTTTTGAAACTGGTCCATTTTAATCATATAGTGAATCATTTTGTTGTAGTAATATCTACTCAATTTATTGGTCAAAAGGTGATGAATCTTTTTGTGACTTATTTTTTTTTTCTTACCTTTTTAGTGAAACATTATAAAGAAAATATTTTTCTTCCTTTTATTGCTTTTTACCATGAAAAAAAGGGTGAATGTATCTGCTTAAAGTTTTGACAAATTCGCTGATTAATTTCTAATGACAAAAAGAATAGTGATAGTAATTAATATTCTCCTTAATTATTTATTTCATTTCTTTTTTATTGCATAATGAAAAAAGCAAAAATTTCATCCCATAACTGGATGTCTGTTAAAATTTCCCAAAGTTGTTAAAATGGAGCTATCCTAATATGTTATACATCCTCAACAATTAATAATTTAATTAATACCTTAAGTTATATGTATTATGTATGTGATATTTGTTAGTATTCCTTTCTTTTAGACTTTGCACTGCGTTTCTTATTAATGACCATGTTTTCTTCTTTAATTTCTCTACTTGGGTTTGATACACTTGAGTTGAAAGTCTTTCGGAAACAACCTCTCTATCTACACGAGATAGTGATAACTGGTAAGGTCTGCGTACACTCTATCGATTTCCAGACCCCACTTAGTGAAATTTAATTCACTAGGTATTTTATTGTTATTGTATACATATATAGTTAAATGAATACAATTGAAATCATTTAATTATATTAATTGTGAATTAGTATCATGATAACCACAAAGATAAAAATATCTTTATTGATTTAGAAAGCTTGAAAGATGAGCAAAAAAATCAGATAGTGAAAATGAGGTATGTGCTAAAGTAAGGAGAAGAAGCAATCTACTTGGCACTTTGCCAATTACAAATGTCTTTGTTTCATACATACAAATAATATTTGGTGAGTGAAACCTTGCACCTATCGCTACGTATCACTTTGTTACACCCCCCCCCCCCCACCCCACTTTGTGTATTTATGTATGTATCTAACAAATATATATATATATATATATATATATATATATACATACTTTAACTAACTTTTATGAATAGTGACGTACCTAGTATTAAAGTGTGTAGTTTAGTCGTCAACGAAAAATCATGAGATCTTATTAACTTCTAGTTCAAGTAACAACCAAAATATACTAGGTGGTTTTTTTTCTTTTGTATTTACCCAAGTCTTGATAGAGAGAGAGTTACTCACCTACTTGGTATCTATATTGATGGGGGTAGTATTTTCACCATTAGACTTTAACAATATAAAAAGATAAACACACGAAAAGACTAGTAAATTAAATATATTTTATTTTGTATATACAATGTAATTTTTTGGCGAATTTTTTTTGGATAAACCACCTGCCTCAACTCCGCCTAATTAATTGATAACGTGATAAGACTTGCTATAACAAACTAAACCTTATTTGATAGCGTAAAAAATCTCCAATACAATCAAGGTACTTACGTATATGAATTAAATAATTAAAGATTTTTACCTTTTTGTTAGAAACAATATTTTTTGAAAATTTATAAACTTTGCCAAAATTACCACAATTACAAATTAAAATTGCAGAAATAATTGGCTTGAATTGAGAAACTTTAACCATTTGTACAAGTTGAGACCAACGGGAGTGTATGATATTTTTTAGAGTTAAAAAATTGACCATTTCTCATCTTATCACCTACTTTAATTATTATTGGGACAAGTAGATAAGTAGCTATTTGGGTGAAATAATTGACAATCGACTGGTTATAAAAAGTTAAAGGAAATTAAACACTATATAATTAGACATAATTCGCTATCATATATACAATTATTACTTGTATTTTAAAATATTACGTATCTTACCATTAATTAAGAGTTTTCTATCATATATTGAGAAAGATAACTTAGATGCTTGTATTTTTGCTACCATATATACTGAAATAGGGAGAGAAGCGAGTGAGATGGGGAGGGAGGCAAGAGAGATTTGTTATGTATCTCAGATACATGTGAATCACACTAGATACATACTAGATATATGCATTTATATGTATCTTGTGCGATTCACATGCATGTATCTAGGATCCCAGATACATAAGAGAGTGGCGAGCGAGATGGAGAGAGTCGAGCAAGTTTGTAATGTATCCTAAATATATGCGAATCCACTTGGATATAATGTATCTAGAACAAATCATACCTAATTTTGACCACATGTATCTGGACACACCAAAATATGGTAAGATACATAATATTACAAACTAGAGTGTATATAAGTAATTAGCTCCTAAACTAATGAAATTTATGTAAATTCTCCAAAAGTTATAACACACAATAGCAAAAAGCTAGTGAATTCGAGTTGTCATTGACTTCAACTTACACGAGATATCACAAAGTGGCTTGTCTTCTATCGAGCTCTCGGATCCGATCGAGCCTCTTTGATATTAGATCTTTGTCTCTTGTTTAACTCGAGTTGTCATGCTCTTTTGGTAGTTAATTAAAGTACCTTTATGAATAGAGGTGGATTAAGGATCGATGTCAACTCTATAATTTTAATTTGTAATTACCCATTATATTTTTATTAATATGCGTTCATATCTAGTATTTGTTACAATTTTGTTGAACTTTACAAATACATTTATACTTCGAGTAAAATATATTAAATTCAGATGAGTCTGAAAATACAAAGATGAATCCACCATTGTTTAAGAAGTATGATTATATCCTTTAGTACAAGACTTTAACGGATAAAATCGATGGACAATAATTCAAGTTATATATCTCGTTAGTATAAGAAATTTCTTACCCCATATCAAATTTCCAAAGATTAATATCTATGGCATATAGCGGTATAGGTAACTCTCCATAAACTCCTATAATTCTCAAAATAAGACGAGTTATTTGTCAATTGTCATAATAATAATTAAAAAAGTGATATTTCTCACGTTTATTATTATAGTTCATAAAACTTAAACTCAATCGAGAAAGCCATCATTAAATAAATGAATTTTACATGCAAAGAACGGTTCACTATTTCATAATTATAAGCGTAAATGATGCTTATAATCATCTCTAACATTGGAAAAGAAGGGCCAAGTTTTCCACCAGAGTCTCATTAACATATATACTTCGTGTTCAATCATAATATTATAGTATATCATCATGGTTCGGCCCTTTCTTAAATTTCGTACATATATAATGAAAGCTTAGGTTTTGTTTTTTTTAAAAAAAATAAATACATTGTCACCATATCATTTCCATAAGTGGCACTATTATTATATATTGATTATGTCTTTGTCACTCTCCAGTCTACCTCCTATAATATTTATTTAGATTTTATATATATATATATATATATATATCAATACTTTTAAAATAATATTTTCTTATCATATTTCATCGAATATAAGAAAATAAGTAAACCCTCACTTATTTTGCTACTTAAGACTACTAAGAGGTCAAAATTCTTTTTCTAAAATAACTCAATTATCATTTATTACAGGCAAAGTGTTCTGCTAAGCTCTAATACATGCAATATATGAGAAAAAGAAGGTTATACTCCATAGTTCTTCATATTTCATCATTACTGTGTTGGACCAATGACCTGTCATCATTCACTTGGCTTGTAAAATATATAGTTATATATATATATAT